TCCATTAGGGACCTGACTGTTGATGTTCCCCTTCTGTGTCCAAGTGATCTCATTGTTCACTTCCCACTTATGAGTGAGAACATGTGGTATTTGGATTTCTGTTCTTGTGATAGTTTGCTGAAGAATGATGGCTTCCAGCTGCATCCATGGTCCCTACAAAGGACACGAACTCATCCTTTTTTATGGGCTACATAGTATTCCATGGTGTATATGTGCCACAATTTTCTTAATCCAGTCTGTTACTGATGGACATTTGGGTTGGATTGCCAAGTCTTTGCTATTGTGAATAGTGCCGCAATAAATATACATGTGCATGTGCCTTTATAGAAGGCACGCAATTTGCAATCCTTTGGTATATCTCCATAAAGGGATGGCTGGGTCAAATGGTATTTCTAGTTCTAGATCCTTGTGTGAAATTCTCAAACGTTTTCCTACCAAATGGTTGAACTAGTTTATATATCCCACCAAGAGTGTAAAAGTGTCTATTTCTCACACATCTCTCTCCAGCACACCTGCTGTTTCGCTGACATTTTAAATGGATCATCATACGGTGAAGAAAAGGATCCAGTTTCAGCTTTCCTACTTATGGCTAGCAACTTTTGCAGTACCCCATTTATTAATAGGGAGAATCCTTTCCCATTTCTTGTTTTAGTCCAGGTTTGTCAAAGATCAGATCGCTGTAGATGTGTGGTTTTATTTCTAAGGGTTCTGTTCTGTTCCATTGGTTCTATGTCTCTGTTTTGGTGACATACCATGCTTTTTGGTTAACTGGGGCCTTGTAGTATAGTTGAAGTCAGGTAGTGTAAGCCTCCAGCCTTTGTTCTTTTGACTTAGGATTGTCTTTGGGCAATCCGGCGTCTTTTTTGGTTTCATATGAACTTAAAGCAGCTTTTTTAACATTCTGTGAAGAGAAAGTCACTGGTAGTTTAATGGGGATAGCATTGAATCTATGAATTACCTTGAGGCAGTATGGCCATTTCACAATATTGTTCTTCCTACCATGAGCATGGTATGTTCTTCCATTTGTTTGTGTCCTTTTTATTTCACTGAGCAGTGCTTTGTAGTTCTCCTTGAAGAGGTTCCTTATATATCCCTTTTAAGTTGGATTCCTAGGATTTATTTCTTTTATTTATTTATTTATTATTTATTATACTTTAATTTGTAGGGTATTATATATTGTGCATAACGTGCAGGTTTGTACATATGTATACTTCGCCGATGTGTGTGCTGCCACCCATAACTCGTCAGGTAACCAATCAACTCGTCATTTACATCAGGTATAACTCCCAATGCAATACCCATCCCTCTCCTTTCAGATTTAGGCCCGGTGTTTTTTTTGTGATTGTTCCCTTCCGAGGTCCAAGTTGTTTCTCATTGTTCAGTTCCTTTTGTTCATTATGTGTGTGAACGATGCTTTTTGGTGTTGGTTTTTCTGTTTTCTTGTTGTATTAGTTTGCTAAGAATGAGGTTTCCAGGCTGCTCCATTTCCCTTACATAAGGATCCCACAAACTCATCCTTTTTTTATGGCTGCATAGTATTCCATGGTATATGTGCCACATTTCTTAAGCTTTTTTTTTTGTTTTCCAGTTGCTTGGTAGATCTTCCTCCATCCCTTTATTTTGAGCCTATGTGTGTCTCTGCACGTGAGATGGGTCTCCTGAATACAGCACACTGATGGGTCTTGGGTCTTTATCCAATTTGCCAGTCTGTGTCTTTTAATTGGTGCATGTAGCCCATTTACATTTAAGGTAAACATTGTTATGTGTGAATTTGATCCTGTCATTACGATGTTAGCTGGTTATTTTGCTCATTATTTGAAGCAGTTTCTTCCTAGCATTGATGGTCTTTACAATCTGGCATGTTTTTGCAGTGGCTGGTACCGGTTGTTCATTTCTGTGTTTAGTGTTCCCTTCAGGATCTCTTGTAAGGCAGGTCCGGTGGTGACAAAAATCTCTCAGCATTTGCTCATCTGTAAAGGATTTTATTTCTCTTTCACGTTTGAAGCTTAGTTTGGCTGGATATGAAATTCTGGGTTGAAAATTCTTTCCTTTAAGAATGTTGAGTATTGGCTCCCACTCTCTTCTAGCTTGTAAAGTTTCTGCCAAGAGATCCACTGTTAGTCTGATGGGCTTCCCTTTTTGGGTAACCCGACATTTCTCTCTGGCTGTCCTTAGCATTTTTTCCTTCATTTCAACCTTGGTGAATCTGACTATTATGTGTCTTGGGGTTGCTCTTCTCAAGGAGTATCTTTGTGGTGTTCTCTGTATTCCCTGAATTTGAATGCTGGCCTGCCTTGCTACATTGTGGAAGTTTTCCTGGATAGTATCCTGAAGTGTGTTTTCCAACTTGGTTCCATTCTTCCCATCACTTTCAGATAAACTAATCAAACGTAGATTTGGTCTTTTCACATAGTCCCATATTTCTTGGAGGCTTTGTTTATTTCTTTTTCCTCTAAACTTCTCTTCTTGCTTCATTTCATTCTTCTACTTGATCAAGTTAGACCTCTCTGATGAGATTTTAAATGCTTTGACTATTACTAACATTATTACAGAAGAGCAAAAGTGTGCTAAGCCATGAGACCTGAACACACTGGATGAGGACTTATGTTACAGTGGTAGGAATAGAAAAAAAGTTAACAACACTTATAAGTAAATATAAGTGATCTCTATATAAAGGCAGATAGTGATACCCACCCTTTTTTCCACTTGATCGAATCGGCTACTGAAGCTTGTGCATATGTCACGCAGTTCTCGTGCCACGGTTTTCAGCTCGGGTGGAAAATTTTTGCTGTAATTCTTTTAGTAGTTTTCATACTGGAAGCCCACTATATGTTCTTCACACCTTTCTAACCCTACTCTTCCTCTATCTACAGAATTATTTTATCAACCTCCTTTATATACACCTGTTTCTTTTTCCCTCATTTCCTCCCTATACTTTCTGTCTTCCTCATTTTTTATTCCCTATTTCACATCTTTCCTCTTATTTCCTGAGGTACCTCAGGTTTTAGAATACCTTGAATTTAAAGTAATAATTCAGTTCCTTTTCTGGCACCATCAATAAATTCCGTTGCTGACACCTGACAAGATATGTAACTTATTACCATTTTAATTGACATTTTTTTATACTGTGCATTTAGTGGGTAATGTTCTTAGGCTATTACAATATATCAGTCCTCAAATCTTTAGATAAACATACTGTTTAATGACTTATAAATAAAAAATGACTCTTACCCTTTAGTTTTCCATTTATATTCTTGACTTCTTCTTGATATGTAGCCTCAGGTAAACACATGTAATTCTGCGCAGCACTTTCAGAAATATTCTGTTCAAAGTTCTATCAATAATGAATTGCAATTTAAAAATGATAATAATGAGTGACATCAAGACTTCCTAACTAATATATTTAAAAAAATACTCAGTTTCCTACTTTAAAGGCAATTTGACTTAAGGATAGACACCTATTGAAAACCAAAGCATTTATATAAAGGACTTCACATATGCTCTCTAAATCAAGCTTATTTTCATCTTCATTTAGCTGTTGAAACAGTTACCAAGCATGAAAATCCAAAAAAAAAAAAAAAATCCTCAGAAAAAATATTCACTCATGTGCATGTTTCCAGAGGAAATTACCTTCAAAATATCTAACTCTACTTTGTAGTCCCCAAGAAACATGAGAGGGCATTTAAAACAAAAGACAATCACCTGCTTCTTGCTATATAACATTGACAACATTAAACGTTAAAAATATTCATAATTATAAATTTTTTTTCATGCATATGTTGAGTCTGCTTGCATTGTATGCTTTTTTCTTGATTATAGGTCACATGTCTTTCTACTTCTTTTTTTATTATTATTATACTTTAAGTTTTAGGGTACATGTGCATAACGTTCAGGTTTGTTACATATGTATACTTGTGCCATGTTGGTGTGCTGCACCCATCAATTCGTCAGCACCCATCAACTCGTCCTTTACATCAGGTATAACTCCCAATGCAATTCCTCCCCCCTCCCCCTCCCCTCTCCCCATAATAGGCCCCGGTGTGTGATGCTCCCCTTCCCGAGTCCAAGTGATCTCATTGTTCATGGTTAAAATAAGACACTTGAAAGGAAGAGAACCTTAAGAGTATGAGACAGAATATTGTAGAAGTTTCTTTATTTAGGTAGACAAGAATTTGAAATAATCAAATATTTTTGAGAAAATTTTTGATTACAGAAGAAATACATGAATGAAACTTAAAAGAAGAAACATATTCCATTATGTTTAAATGAAAGGAAACCAATATTAGATAGAGTATGTAACTTGATCTCAATTAAGACATAATTTCAAAAATGTATAGCAAGCCCTTCATAAAAATATAAGAATGTTTATTCATAAAGCATTTATTTATTATATGCCCGGAACACATTTGGAAACTTTTCTACACCTTACAATAATGAAAATGATGATGATGATGTTTACCCCACTTTCTGCTTCTTAGTCTTTCCAGGATATTAACAGAAAAATTATAAACAAATGTGATCTGCTGTTTTTCTCCACTCCAAATGTCTTTCACCTATACTTTCACACGTCATCCTACCTCTCATGCTTGTTATGGGAGCTTGACTGGTAGTCTCAAACAAATCTCTGACTACAGAATTTGACTGCCACTCCCATTCCCATCCTAACTGTAAATTTCTTCAATTTTCTCTAACCTAACACTACCTGTCTTTACATAGAGATCACTTATATTTACTTAAGGGTGTTGTTAACTTTTTTTCTATTCCTACCACTTTAACATAAGTCCTCATCCTGTGTGTTCAGGTCTCACTGTTTAGCACACTTTTGCTATTCAGTAAGAACATTACTAATAGTCAAAGCATTTAAAATCTCATCAGAGAGGTCTAACTTACTAAATTCCTAGCAAGTTTAGAAAACAGTAGTAGTAGCCTGCTGATACGTAACATACCCTTACACTACACTAGAAATCCACATGTCTGTTGTTATTTCCCCAATATTTTTCTGACAATACTGCCATCACGTTTAAAAAAAGTACCCTCGATATTTATTACATCACTGAATACCACTGTCATCATTATCTTACATTTGTATACACATTTTTCAGTTTACAAAATATTTTTATTTTTATTACAACACTACTCAATTAAAAATAACTAAGAGGTAGATATTAGCACTAATTCAATGAACAAGGCCACTGACATTTGAACACACGAAATAATTTTCTCCAAGGTTACATAACTAGTAAGTAACAGAACCAGAATACTGACTGGTTTTTTGACTTCTACTCATGATTGTCACTACTATAAAGCAGCTACTTCTAACAACCAGCGAGGCCCTTTCCATCTCTTTACATAGCTGTGATCTCAGAATACAAATGTTTATGTGGTTGAAAGCATGGCTGCCACAAAAGAACTCAAAGAGTTCTCTTTGTGAAAATGATGTTTATTCTTTAAAACACTATTCAACCAAATTGTTTTTATTATAGTTTCTCAGGTTTCCTATTTTTCTTGCTCTTCCTTTGCCTAAAATATTCCTTAAGCTCTACGCTGTACAATCCAAATATATCAATACTTTCAAGTCCCAAGCATTATCTTCTCAAGTTCCAAGGTATGCAAAACAAGTTTTACCTTTTTCCTCTGAATCCAGATATACCAGAGAATCATAAATTTGCCTACAGGTGGACCCCTGAACTGAAATTCCTCAGTTTTTAGACAAACGTAGATTCAGAATCCAAATAAACTTCTAGAATTTCTAAGCCATATTTTTACACTATACTACACTATCTTCTAAATTTAATCCTGAAAATAAGTGGAATTGCACTATGAAGCAATAATCTGCTTAGCAAATAATAACTGTTTAGTATGTTCTGAAAAATATCAGAAATTGCTGAAGGGTAACATGCAGAGGTAAGACAATAAAGTCAAAGTCTCTAAAGTTTCGTCAATCAATATTTGTATTTAAATAATGAAAACAAAATTACACAATACCTCAGAACTCCAATGTGATTCTGCATATGTTTCTTCTCCTGATTTTAATGTGAACATATTATCTACAAAATATTAATCATATATATATTCATGAGAACATTTATTATGATATATTTTAAAAGTATACAAATCTATTTTTTTCATGAATTTGTGGTCTTTCTTATTCAATCTGTACATACTTTTTTCAGATTATTCCCACCACTTTTATGGTCAATCTAATAGAATTGCAAACCAAAATATTTAAAAGTGAACTTTTTATTCATTAGAATTTAAAAAAAATAGAAATTTGGCTAACTTATACAAATTATTTCTTCAAAAAGGCAGTAATGTGTTCTTCTTCCCAGAAACAGTATTTCTTGTGCTTGAAATTTAATGAGATAACTTTAATTATATGTTATATTTCATTTTTTTCTATTTTTTAGCAATACTTACTTTGATTGACTCAGCAATCTCTGTTAGTTATTCAAATGAAATTATCAATAAATAAGACTCTTGAGAAATACAACTTTTTTTGTTAACAAACTTTGTCTAACAATTTTAAGTTTCAACATGCATGACAGTATATGTTGTGTATGTGTAATAAATAAGCTTAAAAATCTTTTATTGCATATACATTAAATTTAAAAACTGCTTTAAATATTTTGAGACAGTCTTAAATCAATATCTTCAGAATCACCTTGTGATGCCTTAGAGAAACATTAGAAATCTATATAAAAATAATTGCTTTAAGTAACCTAACGTTCCCATAAAAAAAATTAAATCAATGCCTACACATTAGTAAACATAGCTTTAATGGTCTGTAGGTCACAGTTTTCATTTTTATTAAAGTAGATGATTGTGCATAGCGATACTTGAAATATTTTAGTTTTAGTTTCTAATATATCAAAAATCAGTAGATAAAACCACCTTAAATGAAGACTGAAATCTGCATTTGTTTTTATTTTCATGTATTTGTTTTTTGCATAAACAAGCTTTAATTAGTCATGGTGCAGTTATATAATGGAATTCCATAAAGAACCTAATATAAACAAAACCAGAGCTAATTCTGCCCTTATGGATGGATCTAACAATACAATGCTCATCAAAGAATGTTACAGAAAATTACACACAATGTACAATTATTTACATATTAGTGCTGACGAGTTGATGGGTGCAGCACAGCAACATGGCACAAGTATACATATGTAACAAACCTGCACCTTATGCACATGTACCCTAGAACTTAAAGTATAATAATAATAATAAATAAAATAAAATAAAATAAAAAAGAAGTTGAAAACAAATTCTACACATTATCTATGACCATGCACATATGTTGTATAATGTTTAAGCATGCATAGGAATAATAATTTTTAAGAAACTAGTTTAGACAATTGTTTACCTCTAAACAATGAAAAGACACTAAAGCCAAATGCTTCAGAATCACAGTTTTACAAAAATAATCATGAGGAAACGATTACTTCTCCCATTTATTATTATTATTTATTTATTTATTTATTTTTGAGACGCAGTCTCACTCTGTCGCCCAGGCTGGAGTGCAGTAGCGCGATCTTGAAGCTCTGCCTCCCTGGTTCACGCCATTCTTCTGCCTTAGCCTCCTGAGTAGCTGGGACTTACTTCTCCCATTTTTTAAAAATTAAGGGTACCACACACAAACACACATACACATGCACATAGGCACAAACGTGCACACCACAAACACACATACACACACACACACACACACACAGAGTAAGCTAATCAGAATAACTGATTTCCTTAGGATGCTTCAAATGACTACATTCCCATGAGGTAACCAATGTTAAAACATAGTTGGCATGTCAAAAAGTGAAGCTTTCTCTGAAGTAAAGGGTAGAATTTGAATCAATTTTTGAACAGAAAAAATATTAGAGTTTAAAAATTCACCTTATTGAATCTTTAAGTCATACAGACATTCCCAATACAAAACATTACAGTATCAGGACATAAAAGTAGAAACACCTGAAATTAAAGCTACCTTTTACAAAAACTAATTAAAATTTGTATTCTTATAAGTAATCAGTTTTTCAAATGTGGATGACATTATTGACATTATTACCTCAAATATTTCCATAATATTTGAAAAATAAACACTGGGGAGATGAGACTATTAATATATCAACTATTGAAATATTCATTTTAATATACTTGAACTGTAAAATTTACCTGCTCTTAATGTTTGTTTATTCTTCCATTCTAAGCCTTTATTTGGGACAGAGTTTTGCATTTCAATGGCAGGCTAAATGGGTTTGGAAGAAAAATTATTAATAACGAATGTATACTTCACAAAATATGTGGTTAATAAACGATTCAAGATAAAATGATAAAACTCAATACCTCAAAGTCAGAAGGCTTTTCAGGAGACTCTAAAAAAGCAAAAGAGATTTATTATCAGTCATAGGTAAATATGACAAAACCAACCACAAATGAATCCAGTGGTATTATCTAACTAAGTCCTTGTGCTCAGCTTTGAGAATGATTCCTTTAGGTTTAGGGCTTTTTCTTTTTATTTGTTTCTTTAGGACACTCACATGACAGAAATACACTGAAGAAACTAGGAATCTAGGCCTCAACAAACATGTACTTAATATTTCAAAAGTGAGAATGTGCTGTGCATGCAAAATGTGTTGATATTAATACGCATATGCTGAGGGATGAAAAGAGAAATGACCTTTGATCAGAGGAGCAAATCATGACCCTGAAAAAATAAATGTCAAAGCTGAATATAGAATCCTACACCATATATTTAATGAAATACATTGGAATAATTTATATCATTACATTCATCATGTTCTTTAATTTGTCGTACAATTGAGACGGTACACCATTATGATGAGAGTTCAGCAGAATGAAGAACTGACATCTCATCACTGAACGTGTTACAAATTGATCAGCTTGGATATTTACTTAGGGGATAATACTAAATAAAATATTGTTTTCCATATCCATGCAGTGTAATCATATGCCTCTAGTTTAGCCTCAGAAATTTTCTTGCTTCTGTATCCTCTAGCTTATCTTCAGAAATTTTCTTGATTCACTAATGCAAAAAATATATACAAAACTCATCAAAAATATTGCTTTCAATGTTGACGTTTACTTGAAAATTTATGATAACATAGTTATTACATATAAATAACATTTTATATGTTTAAATCAGGAAAATATTTACTTAAAAAACAATTTTAGAATTCAAGTAATAAATTCAGTAATTTGTTTCTAAAAATTAGTCTGCTTTGTTTATTATGGTAAGTGTCTAATGGATTTTTATAGAATAACAATTTTACCAAAACAATTTGCTTCATTAAAAATAAAGCCAATGCTCTTAGATTCAAATATCTCTCATTTGAATAGCTAATATCAACAAAATATAAACATTTTATGCCTGATAGTATTAGAGAAAGCTAATGAGTCACCATGGTTTACTCCAATTCTAGTAATCCTCCCGCTTCCGGGAGTCTCTGGAGTACCCACAATCTAATCTGCTGGAGTGCAAATATTGTAAATGCATCTGAAGTGAATTCATTCAAATTTCCTTTTCAGAAACTCCAAAGTTGCCTGGCTATCTTCTTTCTTGCCCCATTTCATGCTTCACAATCCCTCTTTCTTAGCCAAAATTTCTTAGTCCACATCTGTGGTCTTGATTATTCCCATTCAACATCTTTTAAAATCAATTTTCCCAACACTTTCTTTCTCTTTGATTAGGGTAGTATCTGACATCTGAAATTACTATTTCTTTACCTGTTTTTTCCTCTATGGCCAGAAACATACTCAGAAATAAAAGCAATATAACGCTTTCTTTTGACCCTGTTATGTCTTGACCTTCTATCCAACTGCCCTTCTTCCAGATTTTTCCAAAGGAAAGGCCGTTCCCTTGCTACTTAAGAGTGAGGTCCAAGGACCACCAGCAACAGCATCACTTGAGAACTTATTAAAAATGCCAGAATCCAAAGTCTGCTGAATCACCGCGTGCATTGTTAACAAGGTATTCAGCTGATTTTCCAAAGTGTGAAAACTTCTGATCTACACTGAGTATATATGACAAATTATATACACGCATGGCTGTGCAAATATACTTATATTCACATATTGCTGATAAAACACAACTCTCCATGGTCAGGTGCTTCCATCCCTAATGCCTTCCCTCCAGTAAGAAAGACAAGAGTGACAACATGTTTGCTGTAATTCTCTGGCAGATTTTGGTAATGGAAGGTCACTTTATATTCTTCCCAGCTTTCTAACCATGCTTTATCTTTCTTTCAAGAATTATTTTATTTTACCATTCTCCATTATGTAAACCTGCTTCTTGTTCCCTCATGTATTCCCTGTACTGTCTGTCTTCCTCAGTCTTCATTCCCTCTTTTACTCCTTTCCTCGGGTCTTAGGGTATACTGAATTTAAACTAATGATTCAGCTATTTTGTTGATACTCTCAGTATAATCTGTTGCCAACACCTGAGATGACATATAACTTTCACTCCTTTTGTTCTTCCATGCTACGCATTTAAAAAATAATTTTCTTTGATTGTCAGAGCATACCAGTCCTCATGGTTTGAGACAAACATTTGGTCAAAAGATGTTTTAAATAAAAAATGGTTCTTACCTTCTATTTTGCCATTTATTGTCTTTATTTCTTTTTGATATGTAGCCTCAGGTAAACACACATAATTCTGTGTATCATTCAAAGAGATAATCTGTTAAAGATAATATTAATAAATAATTTCGTTTTTTACTATTTTTTTATTTTATTTTTCTGAGACGAAGCCTCGCAGGGTTGCGCAGTGGCATGATCTCGGCTCACTGCAAACTCCGGTTCCCAAGACCAAGTGATTCTCCTGCCTCAGCGTCCCGAGTAGCTGGGACTACAGGCATGAGCCACCACACCTGGCTAAATTTTTGTATTTGTAATAGAGACAGGGTTTCACCATGTTGGTTAGGCTGGTCTCAGACTCCTGACTTCAAGTGATCCGCCTACCTTGCCCTCTCAAAATACTGGGATTACAGGCAAGAGACATCATGGCCTGCCTCAATAAATAATTTCAATTTAAAAATAATAATGACAAGCATCATATTTTTTATTAAAAATCTTTTTTATAAAACATTTTTTAACTGTAAAAGCAATTAGATTTAAGGCTGTTCACATACTGAAAACCAAAACATTTCAAGAGAAAACCTCAAATATTCTCTGTAGATCACGCTTATGTTTTATTTTCATGTGGCTATTGACTAGGTTACTGAGCAAGGAAAATAAATCATATTCACAAAAAAATTCATTCATGTGCATATTTTAAAAGGAATTTACTTCACAGTATCTGCTTTACACTGTAATCCTCATCAAAAATAATAGAATATTTCAAACAAAATACAACACGATTAAACATGTGACATATGCATAATTACAGATTTTTTGGTTAAAAAATATGCATGGCATGAAGATAATTTTCAGAGTGTGTTATGTGAAGTAGGAATAGAACTCTGTAAAAGCTGTTTCATTTAAGAAAACAAGGGCTTAAAGTAATAAGAATAAATTTTAAACTTTTTTGCTGCTAAAGAACTGCTTGAATAAAAGGAAAGATTCATAAGGAAAACTAATATTTATGTTATTTTTAAATGAAAGCAAACAATCATTAGATAAAGCATGCAATTCATTCTTAAGACATAACTTCAGAAAAGTAGAGCAAGCCTTCATCAAAAGAGAAAAATAAAACATGTATTCGTGAAACATGTAACATGTGCCAGGCACGTATTTGCAGACTTTTCTTCACCTTAGAATAATGAGGATGATGATGATGTTGGTGGTTACCCCACTTTCTGCTTCCTAGTCATTCTAGGTTGTTAAGAACAAAATGATGAACAAATACGGTCCACCGTTCTCTCTGTTCAGAATGTCTTCCTCCTAGACTTTCATATGGCATACTCCTCATCTTTGAGATGGGAGATTAAATGGCAGTCACAGAAAGATCTACCCTGACCATAGAATTCCACTACCACTCCCATACCCGTGCTAATTTTAAAGTTCTTCAATTTTCTCTAACCAAACATTCTCTGTTTTATTTTTAAATAAAAAGTTACAGTGACTTATAAGTGTTTTTTATTTTTTATTCTCTTCCTACTACTACAGGATAATCCCACATCTTGGATATTCAGAGACTCACTGCCTAGCACAGAGTTGATACAAAGAAATTACTCCAGGTCAACACATTGAAAATCTCATCAGGGAAGTCTAACTTTCCAAACCGCTATATTTCTATGGAAAATCTGCAGTAGTAGCCTGCTGAAAGTTACCAACCCCTTACCCAAAATTAGAAATCCACATGCCTGTTCTTACTCCCCATTCTTGTGCTAACAATACTGCTTACGATAAATGTCACTTTGATCATTTTGTCTTACATTTGTATACAGATTTTTCAGTTTACAAAATGTTTTCACATTTGTTACAATGTTATTTCATGACATGCACCTAAGAGGTAGACATGAGCCTGGTTTTTATAAACAAAATTACTGGTATTTGATTAGGTTAATTGATTTTTCTCCAAGTTCCCATAGCTAGTAAGTGACAGAACCAAAATACAGACTTATCTTTGACATCCACTCACTGCTGTTACCATTATGCAGCTGCTGCTTCCACCTAACTGGTGAAGCCTTTCCTATCTCTTCCACATCCACAGTTGTGGTCTTGGAATACATCATTATTATTTGATATCTATGTGGCTGCAAACATTACTGCCACAAAGGGACTCGAAGAGTTCTATTTGTGAAAAGAATGTCTACTTATTAAAACACTACTCAAACAAATTGTTGTTATTATAGTTTTACAGGTGTCCTATTTATCATGTTTATCCAACTTCTGAAATGTTCCTTCAGATCTATACTGGATAATCAAAATATATCAATACTTTCAAGTCCCAGACATTATCTTTTCAAGTTCCAAGTTGAGCAAGACTAAAACTGTAGTTTAAACTCTGTCTCCCTGAATCCAATGAGAGCTTTTGTACATCTAGATATACATACACAGAATCATATATTTGCCCACAAATGAATGCAGAGGAATTATTTAGTTTTTAGACAAACTTAACTTCAGAACTCAAAGAGATTCCTAGTGCCTTCTAAGCCTTATTTTCTTTTGTACTATTCTACACTGGCTTCAAAATCAATCCTGCAAATTAGCAGAATTGCACTATGCAGCTGTTATCTACTTGGCACATGATTATAAAGTATGTTCCGATAAATGTCCGAAAATAATTTCTTTTTTTCTTTGTTTGTTTTTTGAGACGGAGTCTCGCTCTGTCGCCCAGGCGGGAGTGCAGTGGTGTGATCTGGGCTCACTGCAAGCTCCAACTCCTGGGTTCACACCATTCTCCTGCCTCAGCCTCCTGAGTAGCTGGGACTACAGGTGCCTGCCACCATGCCAGGCTAATTTTTTTTGTATTTTTAGTAGAGACGGGGTTTCACCGTATTAGCCAGGATGGTCTCGATTTTCTGTCTTCATGATCTGCCCGCCTTATGGACACAATCAGAGGTGACAGAATAAAGTCAAATCATCTGTTTATGTTTTAAGACTAGTTAAGTTTTAAAATAACAACAACACACAGTACCTCAGGAACTGAAGTTGATTTTGTATCTTCTTTTTGTCCTAATTCAGATATGGGCATCTTATCTACAAAATGTTGTTCACAGTATGAGAAAATGAGTTCACATATATGAGAACATTTATTACTGTAAATCATAATACTATATGCAAATCTATTTTCATTTATGAGTATTTCAAAAATAAAATAGCAAAAATAGAGTTTCCGAATTGAAGCAGGTTCAGAAAAAAGAATTGATAGTATGAAAAAAGATAGCAAAAAGTATTTTTTAAGTAGACATTGTATTTCAGTCTATAAAATTGTTTTCTAAATAATAGCATTTAAGCACAGAAAAATTTTCAGAGATATTCACTAAATTACCACTTCTATTATTTTGGTATAAAAAATAAAATTGTCATTACTTGTTTGATCTTGTGGAGCTCGTTCAATAATGCCAATATCATTTTCGTGTTGTCCAGTTACTGTCTTTGTTGCTCCCTCCTATTACAAACATAAAACAGAAAGCAACAACAACAACAATAAAAACTTCAGAAAAAATTGTGTTTATTAACTCAGTCACTCACTCAATTTGTCAGTAAGACAAACAACAACAACAAAGACACACATTGTATCTATCAAATCATAGGCACTATTCTGGGAGAAGCAGAAAATATCCATGGAAGATAGATTCTGGCCTATATTCAAGAAATGGTAGAGCTATGTGAAAACAAATAAGAACAGAAAAGTATAATTCACCAGTTTTACAATTTAAGTCATTAAAATACATAAGGGCAAAAAGGAGAGAAAAATCAGTTTTACCTGAAAAGCATAGAAAATGCTGCCATAATGGGGCCATATTTGGAAGGACAGACAAAGTGCAGAGTCAGGATACAAAGACTCTTGGTGCAATAGCATGTGCAAAATAATAAGGCATGAAACAACATGGCAACTGAGGGATGCCAAAGTTATGTGGTAAAACTGGAACACAGTCAGAGGAAATAAATTGAAGAGATAAAATGGGGCCAAACCATACACGATATGTGTCACACTAGAATGTGAAATTACCCCTTCATGTAACAGGTATCCACTCAATATGCAGATGAGTTACATCATTACAAATATAGTTTAGAAACCTGACCCTTCCAGCGGTGTAAAGATGAACATGGGGAGATGGGGCAAAAGTAGAAAGGAGTACTTCAAAATTATAGGTAGAGAGTTAATTATGGTAATAAGATATGGAAAATTATAAGAAGGTAGATAATACAAATTTTGGTGTGTGACTGGCTTCGTGACCTGGAGGAGGGTTGAAGTGCAGGATGTGGGGGACAGTTGAAGTGCCAGTTGAAGCGCTTGGGCATTTCATGGCTACTTCCTAGGTGTTATTTACTAGGATGGGGAAACTAGATGACAGAGTAGATTACAACAGATCAGAAAAAAGTCAGGAAAAAAATAAAAATGATGTTTTCAGTTTGAGACCTATAAGATTTCAGGCATCCGAGGGGCTTGGAAGAAATATCTGGATAAATACATTTGGAGTATGAGTAGATTACCTACATGAGGAAAATTACATAGTGATGAGAAAATAAATATTTGTAAGATAGACTAAATGGGTAGAATTAACACAGATCTACGCAGACTGCTGAAATTTTGAAAATGAAATCAAAAGGAGAGAGAAAAACATGGGTTTAAATCTCTCAGTTATATATTTTCAAATTTATTTCAAGAATATAATTTTATTTATATAGGTAAATATTTCTGAAATATTATTGCAATATGCATCTTTGAATTGAATGAAAACATTTAATTTTAAAACAAGATTCTACAAAACGACCTTTCTAAAAACCTTGCAATTTTTAATTGTACAAGAGAAATACTTACCCATAGAATTATGAGGCATTTTTAAGTACTACTGTAAAGTGAGATAGAAATGTGAAACCCTGTTTTAAAATCACATGCTTTTCTTATGTTCCTGTAAACAATATAACACTCGGTCAAATTGCCTATTGACACCATAAAAAAATGGTAGTTTAAAATTGGAGGAAATATCTCATATAAAGAAAATTAAGCAATAATTATTGAAGTTGAAGATTTCATAGTTTTTACATATATCTATGATTGTCAAGCAGGATTCAGTATTCACAGGAGAAGTGAAGAAAGAAACTAAAAACAATTCAAGTCGACAGGATTCCTGAGTTTTAGAAACAAACAAATATATGTGCAAGGTGTAATAGTTATGAAGACTAAAGTTAATAAGGCTTCCTGGAAAGAATATAAAATATCCCCATTGCAAGAGATATTTTTAAGAGTAAAAAGTATTCTTCCAATGATAAGTTTGTTTACTATGCTAACAATCTTCCCTTACATATCATTTTATAATATGTACTTTAAAAAAATTCACAAATATTGATTACATTCAGTTGATGTGTGCATATAATACCATTACCTACAGATATTATGAGCAAAAGATGTCAGAATATTTCTAGAGATTAATAATTTCTACATTTATTTCGTTGAGAGTGTTGTAGCTTAAAAGTGATTTTTCTCTTTTAAGATATACAGATTAAGACCCTTGTTCATATGATCAGAAAATTTACTTTTAATAACAAGCTTAAATAAAATGCTTATTTATTTATACTCTATTATCAAAAATATTCAAAACAGCTACCACGGTTATATCAAAGAGTAAGATAAATTAGTTAAATAATCTAAGAATACATCAAATATTAAGTTAGAAATCTTAAAATCAGAAGCTAAAGAATCAAAAAGTAATAATTCACAATAAAGTTAACAAGGCCTAAAACAGATTTCACTTTGCATTCTGTATTATTGTAAGTATGACTAGATTAAATATAAAACATAAAGTTACTAAAAGAAGTAAAAATTAAATTTTTGTTCCTTGTTTATAATTTTTGTTGACACACTATAAATGTACTTGTTTTGTGGGTGTATGTTATCATTTAATATATTTGCATAATCAAATCAGAATAATTGAGATATTAATCACCTTAAGTATTTATTTTTCCTTTATGTTAGAAACATTCTAATTATTCCCTGCTAGGTATTTCAAAGTGTACAACAAATTGCTCTTACCTATACTCGTCCTTATATTTTCTGTCGGCTTTTTGTTAAAATCTGCTATAAGTCACTCAAGGACACCTGAGCTACATTTTATTAGCTGGCAATGTTTTCTTAATTTTTATTTTAAATAATTTGTATCCTATCTTTTATTCTAGAGAGTTCCTGCTCTCATTTAATCCACAATTTTTGCTGTGTTTTTATAAGAATCTGTCTCATCCTGTCTCATGTAATCTCTATGTTTATCTTACCCTTCTTCAACCAATTAATTCCTATCATCGCCTTCATCTAATTTATTATTATACAAACATGGTGGTATCCATTAGATTATTTTTTAACCAAAATAATCTAGGACAAAAATGTACTCTTCCACAGTTTGTAGTATTATAGAAATAATTAAAATTTAAAAATTACATGTTATATTTTGAAATATCTCTTCACAATTTACAGTTGTATTAATTACCTCTTGTGTGGAAAAATGTGAGACTTTAGTTTTTAATAGTACCTTATTTAACTGGGTTTGCATTGAAATGGTATAGGTTGTTCCTATTCCGTGTGGCAAAATGCTAAGTATAGATAATTTTATAAATTCTGATTCTTCCACGAAACAGAGAAAAAAAGAATAAATCATGGGGGGGGGAGTTGTGATTGATTAATGAAAATCATACATAGCAACTAAATAGAAACTTGTAAATAAATATGCTAACAATTGAGACAGAGATGCCCTAAAAAGCAGACACTGAAGAAATGTATTCTGTGAGAGAAATGTCTGGGGTAAATCATTTTTTAAAAGGTGACGGAGGAAGGAGAAACAAACAAGAGACATGATCAGTCAATCAAGTATGAGCTTCAGTCATGAAAGAAAAGGAAAAACAGCTACTATATAAGACATGTGATGAAATACACAAAATACAGCCTTTTGTTAATAATATTGCTGATCGGTATTTACACTACAATTGGTTATTTTGTTAATACCTGTGTAAGAAAGATTTTAATTTTAATATTATATAATAAGACAATTAGTTAAACATGATCTTCAGCCAATACTTAAAAGCGAGAACATTCTTACTACAGAGAGAGAAAAAACTTAAAAAGGAATATTTCATGAACTTTTCACCTGAAGAAAGTATTGGTAATCAGAATTTTAGAATAATGTACTCCTTGAAAAGATATGCTTAATAGAACATGAGTTTCGGCTGGGAGCGGTGGTTCATGCCTGTAATCCCAGGACTTTGGGAGGCCGAGGAGATTGGATCATGAGGTCAAGAGATCGAGACAATCACCCTGTCTCTACTAAAAATACAAAAATTAGCTGGGCATGGTGCCATGTGCCTGCTGTTCCAGCTACACGGGAGGCTGAGGGAGGAGAACTGCTTGAACCAAGAAGGTGAAGGTTGCAGTAAGTCGAGATCGCGCCACTGCACTCCAGCCTGCATGACAGAGCAAGGCTCCATCTCAAACAAACAAACAAACAAGCAAAACCATAAGTTGGGACTAAAATATATTAAAACTTTTTAAATCTAAACTCCATTGGAGGATACTAGAAAACATAGTGTAAACTTCTTTCCTATTTACTACATATCTCTGATTTATTGTTCTTCTTATTTAAGACATATTTTCTCAAGATAACTTACATGAATTTATGCATTCTAAATACTAAAATGTAAATTTAAGCCATATTTTAGAAATGCATTAGATCTAATTATAAGATATATTATGCATATTATCTTACTTATAATATTCCATTACATAAAAATTCATTTGTCTGCTCATTTATTCACATTGAAAACCTCTTAAAATGCTTTATATATGCCAGGCTGTGTTCTGGGTACACTAGGATGCACACAAGTGTTTTCTAACCTGCAGTACCTCATAGTGATGCAATCAATGGGGGGGGGAGTTGTGATTGATTAATGAAAATCATACATAGCAACTAAATAGAAACTTGTAAATAAATATGCTAACAATTGAGACAGAGATGC